CATTCTATTTGACCACACTTCCCTCGAGCAATACACAAGATCACAATGTCTCCCCTTATATTATGGATACCTGAAAATCATATACAAGCCTAAAGGACACAAGACAGAAAAAAAAATACTATTATACATTTGGTAAATATCCTGCCCTGCAATAAAATACTAAATTTGTCAGATAGGCAGTCATCCAACATTTATTAAAAAAATGCATTCTAGCATATTATTTTTATTATTATGAAAGTATATAGTTAAATTCTAACAGTATTATATGTTGTATGTTTTTTTTTTCCTTTTCTAAAAACATACTGAAATTAGCTTACCAGTTTAATTCTACTGAAACGCCTACTTGACAGGGCGATGCAAAAGGTAGTGTCTACGTGCGCAGTACAGTTTTCCTGCAGAACTATCAGATTTTGGTTTACTATAGTCATATTAATATTAGATTAAATCTAGTTGGTTGCTATGAGATACAGTGCTTTGCACGTTCCTCTTTGCCTTATTTAATACGCCTAAACATGTCATCTTATTTGTCTGAGCAGAAAACAGAACATGTATAACATCACTGATAAATAAAATAAGCTTTCACTACAGCAAGAGGGAAATCCCATCTCCGCGTAACAAGCAGCTGCTCCGAGGAAAATTGTGCATCTGAAATAATATGTTTACTGCAAAAGGGATTGCCTGGCGAACACTCTCACAGAAATGATACCAGGTATTAGCAGTCTCAGCCAGACATTCTCTGTGTAGAATGAACAGCATGAAAACACAAATACTCTAATAATATTACAATTACATCCAGGGATTCTTGGAATAAAAAATGATTGCACATTTGCCCATTGTTACCCTTTGTATGCAAAAAGAAAATAACTGCACAAAATAAGATGGTGAAAGGCACATAGGTGTGCTCAGTCTTGGGGTACTTCATTAGCCAAAATAACAAATTATACCTTAAGGTTCCATTGGTAATTTAATCAAATATCTTATTGACTGCCAGAGCACTTAGTAGAACACGTCAATAGTACCAATACCATAAAGCACAGTTTATATTACACCTCCTTGATTAGTAAAGGTGATTAAAGGTTTTCTGTTAAATGCAGATGATTTGTGTAACAATCCCTATAATACAATTAAGCTGGTTATTATAGCTGTTATTCTAATTATGACAAAAAGGTATCAACTGGAATCAACTATTCCTTTCTACAATATCCCACCAACCCTCCAATCAGCAACAAGACACTGTTTCCTCTGCATTAACTTATCATGAAATTTTTCAAGCATTTTCTAATGGTGGATCTCTGTTAAATCAAACAGGTTAATGACTTAAACACATAACAATAGAGCGCTACAACTGACAAATATATCCTATGAAATATTTGATGAGGCATGATTGATGGATGTGGAAAGACTATGTGAAATCATAAGAAGCTCTCAAACCTGGTCGTCGCCGTCTCCTCTTTTTAGAGCTGAACAGTTTGACCCGAGAGAAGACATTGAGTTTATTTTTTTCACAGTTTCCTTTGCCTTTGCTGGGGCTGTTAACACATTTACAAGCATTGGATTTTTCCCTCTCCCGAGCTTGTCTCTTCTGTCTGATCAGGGAGCTGGCAATAGCGGCAGCCATGGCCAGTGTTTACCAACAACAACCACAAAAAATTGTCTTTTCGAGTGAAAGATACCGCGATACACAATCAGTTTCGGCGACAATCCTTTTTATTTCTCAGAGACTAGAAAAGTTGACCTTTACATCATCAACATTGCTATGGTGGTCACTGAACATTGAGCCATCTAAATACGGTCACATCATATGGATCCTCTGCTGAGTATATACTTTAACTGTCTTCTCTCCTTTACAAATAACTTTGTCCCACCCTCAGACTTCTTTCTACCATCAGCCTCGGTTTCAGGTTGTGCTGTGCTACTCTTTTCTTTGTCCAATGGAGATAATTGTGCAGAGTTTTAAAACATAAATATTGACCAACATTGCAGTATGGGCTTGACCTCGATGAAACAATGGTCTGTTCTTTCCAATTCCATTCTGGCATCATAGACACAGCTCACGTCTGGTTTCTCTTGCTGAAGCATCATAGATTCCATAGACACACTAGTTACATTGGAAATGAAAAAAAAAAAAGATTTTGCCTTTTCTGTGTTCCGAGAAAGCTGTTGTGTTCAATGCAGCAGCAGAAGCAGCAGTCTCAGTCTTCATGCACTGAAGCTACTTGTAACTGTGTATGTGTGTGAGGGAGAGAGAGAGCGAGAGAGAGCGAGAGATGCAGATGGTCTGTTCCCCTCCTTTTTTTTCAATGAAATACAGAATAGCTCTGACCAGTCTCCCTATTGTATTTCATCTGCTAACATCTGGTTACTTTTACGGAGTACAACAAAAGCATTTACAGCTGAGTTGCTCCATTTGTTGGCTAGAATCATGTATGAATTTACATTGCAGCTTTCCTATCTATGCAGAGGCTTGACAAGGCAGGTTAGGATGAGCTGTGTGTTGATGAAGGGAACTTGCTCTTAAGAGCCACCTCCCCGAGAGAGAAAGGTAGCTTGAATTAATTGTTGACGGACTCATTCACTGCTGGGGCACATTTAAGAAGCAAAACAATTAACCAGCTTTGGGGCAGAGGAAGATCTGTGATTGGTCTTTCCTGAAAGCGGCAGCTTGGCTGTCAGGGGTTTTATCCTGATTGGTTGGTGCAGTTTTCCTGCCTAGCTCTTCCTCAAAAGATAAGGAATAACTAAGTACAGCACTTCCCTCAAGGCTGCTCAGTCTTTGAGATTGAGTTTACATGCAGTATGCTATCATGAGAAAATAGTAATTGAATATTGAGCCACCATTGTTTATAAAATCATAAGTGATTTAACCAGTTGACATCCGCGGTGTTAAACCCCCTTCCCATCCAGGCCATTTTTCAGTATTCATATACCAAGAGTAAGCTGGGCTACTTGCTACCACAAACAAGGAAGACATTTGTCATTAATTAGGTGCAAAATGTACTAATCAAATCCGTTTCGCATGATGTTATAATAACAAACTTCTTACTGCATCACTTTATACAATATGTATGATCTTTCAAACAACACTACATGCTATAAGCCAGTCTTACAAAGAGAACGGAAAATTGTAGAAAAATCGAAATTCATATCACAAAAAAATATTTAGTGCAAGCAAGGACAGATATATAAAAAATTGAAAAACATTAGTCTTGTCTATAACAGCAACCATATACTGTCTTTCACTTTTTAATGTAGCCTTGGAATATGTTTGGTTGCTAAGAGAATCATAGGCACTCATAGACAAATAATCGATTGTGCCTCTTATTGTCAAGGCACAACACCTTTTCATCAAAAGTTTCCACTACTAGTGGAATCATGCCAAAATATATTTAAAAAAATAAAGTGTATCTAAACCTAAAACCAAAAATGTAATATATATAGCAGCTTACCAATTCTGAGTTTTGGTGGCCGCATTATTTTTGTTTGTTTAGCCTCTTTTCACCTTTTTTAGACTTTTTCCCCCTTTATTTTCAACTGGTATTCCAGCCAGTAACCCATTTCATGTCTTAGGTTGGCTCCATTCTATGGAGGACCAATGGAGCCACCCTTGGACAGCAAGATTTTCATCCTGTGGAGAGGGTAGTATTAGATGGACTAGAAGTATGATCTTATAGTCCAAATTAAACAAATGAAATCCAAACTTCAGCTAGCACCTTTTAAATCATTACAGCAACAATTTTCTTCCTTTTGGAATGAAGGTTTTACATAAATGAATAAAAGCTGACTGCTGCAAGCACCCCTTATCTGTGTTTAATGTCCCAAACCATTTTTTGCAACTTTTGCTGGACAGCTTGGTATGTTAAAGTAAGTTTAAGAATAACAGACTTGCTGGCCAGATCACAAGGTGAAAATAGTGTAAAGGAAAAAAAAGCCTAAAAAAGATAACTAATGCTGCCACCATATCTAAGGGTTGGTAAGCGGCAATATGAAAAAAAAATTTGTTTTTGGGTTTAGGTACGCTTTAATTTTCCCCACATGCCTATGTGAATGGGCTGTGCTAAGAATGCCCAACCACATGCAAGGAAAGTAAATAAAGCAGTATTTTTGCTTGCACATGATTGGATAATGGAAGTCTGCAGAACTTTACCTGATCCACTAAGCTAAATGAAAATTCATTTGCAAAGTAAACAGCCTATTTCCCTTTACTAATGAAATTCATATGACTCATACTTTGACGACTGGTTATTGTGATTACTGCATTTGCAAGGAAAGCTCATTTGCATGTTGAAGGCTTAGTGTGATCTCAGTGGGCAATAAATGGTTGCTTTATTTCCACATTTACAAGGTTATTCAAATATCTATTCTGAGTGGTTTTGTAGGAGCGGTGTACAAGTACAGTTGAAGTATGGTCTATGTTTGCTATAGAAAGGACCAAAACTAAATAAGTGCCTTACACAACCTTTTGTCTTGGAAGCTTACTATATCTTTCACTACAGCTATAAGTTGAAGGTATTACCCCGTTACTTTAATTTTTTTTAAAGATCAATTTAAGCTTACTAAAGTTTTCACCACATCTCGATATTGAGGGTATTGTTTACAGTGCAGTGTTCATTTACTGCAATAAAACTGCATTACAAAAAAAAAAACATTCACGTCATTTTCATGTCCCAAAGGGCAATGTGGAGATTTGTAAAACACAGGAACTAGATTTCTCAATCATTTTCTTATTTAAAGTGTAAACATGTTCTTGGATGGGCTGCTCCCACACAAAACGGGGGACATCCTGACCTGAATAGGGGTATCAAGGAGAACCAAATATAGAACAAATGGGGGTGCCACTGCTGATAGTAAAGTCCAATATAGTATTTACAAAATTTAGGCAGGGCTTTACATACAGGCATATTTACATCAGTCCCTGCCCTCAAGGAGCTTACAACCTAACGTCCCTGTCTCACATGCATACATACAATGGCAGATTTAGACTAGAGTCAATTAACCTACCAGCAGGTCTTTGGAGTGTGGGAGGAAACAGGTGTACCCAGAGTAAACCTGCACAAGAACAGGGAGAACATGCAAACTCCTACCATGTATTGTCCAGGCCGTAATTCGAGCTGGGGACATCAGTGCTACAAGGCAGAAGTGCTACCCACTAAGCCACTGTTCTGCCCCATCGTTTTTTTAATTTATAAAGATCAATGGAATAAAACAGCCACCACATTCAGAGGTCCATAAAATCCCCCTTCATCAGTGCTAATGGGTTACTTTGTCACTTTGTTCCCTTTGAATATTTGGACTGTTTAAATAAAATAGCAAATTGAATTCTACTTGACAATGTGGACTAAGCCATGGCTCAAAATTTCCTGCTCGCATTTGGCGAGTGGAAATTGGGCTCTCAAAGTACCGTCCCGTGGGCTAACTCCGGCCTGCGAAACAATACTATGTTGCCCACGGCCAGCTGACAAGTCAGACACGTGATCACGGTCGTGTACCTGACTTGTAGGAGCAGCTACATGCTCTGCACCTCTGTCGGATGCAGACCACAGAGCTGCTTCTGTCAGTGCTGGCACTCAGATCCTTTCGGCCAGGGTTCTGACAGTTCTGAGCTCCAGCCAAAAGGATGGATAAGTAAGGTCTCCACCGTACCATACTAATCACCACTGGATCACCAGGGATCGTGCCTCCACACCTCCTCCCTGCAAAGATGTAAGCAGGTGAGGGGGCTAGCGGGGGGGTTTATTATTTTAGGTGTGGGGGGCTTAGAATGGGGAGTGTATTATTTTATGTGTGGGGGGAGCTTGGGACGGGGGGTGTATTATTTTATGTGTGCGGGGGGAGTTGTATTATTTTATTTGTGTGCAGGGGGAGGGCAACGTTGGGGAGTGTATTAATGTGTATTTGTGTATGTGTATATTAGGCCCCATTTACACCTATATTTCAGGTGTGATTAGGGATTCCTGTGTCAGGAAGTTGCGTTTTCCTGCAGCAGGAATCCATAATCTGCTGTTTACAAGTTCCAACTATCATAAGATAAGAATTATCATAAGATAATTTTAGAGGGTGTGTTTAGGGGTGGCGTAAAGGCCAGGGCAGGGTAGGGGTTAGGTTAGGCAACTGGAGGCGAGTAAAAAACACAAACAAGGGGCGCCTTTCCTGGTGCAGACACATTTATTAAGAACAAAAGCAAAGGTGAATGTGAAACATACTCACAAAGGTCGACATGATTACAGTTTGAAAAGTAAGTACATGGACCAAAGAAGAAGCCTGTGATTGCTGCACAGCCGTGTCTGTGTGCCAGCAAGAAAGACTGTGTGATGACGCGTTTCCGGGGTCACGCCCCCTTCATCAGATGCACCTGTATGTTTCACATTCACCTTTGCTTTTGTTCTTAATAAATGTGTCTGCACCAGGAAAGGCGCCCCTTGTTTGTGTTTTTTCCCTAGATTTTGCAGTCCCCCTGGCTGGTTTAGGGCAGCATCCTGCAGACTTTCCACAACCTGCTTCAATTTTAAACAGACTTTGCTTTTTATTATACTGTTATATCCTAGTTGAGCAGTCCTATCTGGAGCTTTTTTTGTTCATAACTGGAGGCGAGTAACTCTTAAGCCATGGCTAGTGGCTCAGGCCTTAAAATGTTGAGCCTTGGACTAAGCTATTGTGCTATTTCTCTACAGTATTATTATTGTAATAGCAGAGGATGTTGAAGATGCTTTCTTAGATGAGCTGGCATGTAATTTGCAAGGCAGTGACAACTATGATACAGAAATGATTCTGCTGCTCAAGCACAATCAGCCATATCCTGCTTATGGCATGTAGATGTAAACTATTTTGGAAAGCAGTGCATTTTATTCTGCTGCGAATCACAACATCAAGTGCAATGTGTCTTGATCATTCTAAAGAAGAGGCTTACTGGTGATGGAAAAGGGACATGCAACCTGTTGTAAGTAAAATATACCACCTGCCATCGCTGACATCTCTCTAAAACCACTGGTTGCCTGGCTGTCAAAGCTTTCAAAGTCACGAACCCAGAACAAGAAGAGATATAAGGTGCTGTAAAGTACATTTCTGCATGCTTTTTTAGGCTCAGAAGTATTAAAGCCAGACAAAGCACGGAAAATTGCATTTTAAACACGGAGGCCACTAATGGCAGCTTACATATTTGTTTCATGGCAGACTTACTTTAAGGGATTTTGAATTTGTTGCAAGGTAGGTATATCACTGAGCACAGAACAATGCAAATATTCTAAGGGACTCTGAGGACATGCTTAACAATATTGAAAATTCTCACCTACCCTGCTCTGCTTTAATCTGCCCAGATTAGACTGGCATCTGATAAGGCTGGAAAACTAGTGTTAAAAAGGAAGGCCCCCTCTCACCTAGCAAGTCATAGAAACTGAATGACTGTTATACATTCATTGATATTGTTTGATTGATGAGGACATAAAATTGGCTCATACAATATCTGGCTATGTTGCTATATGAAAAATACTGTTGGAATGGCTGGTAAAAGTTTGTGGATATTCTGTGTTTTTCTCCACATAATGCAGAGGTGAATAGACGTGACCTAGTGCTCTCCAGGAGTACTGCATAGGGAGATCTCCCAGCATGCACTGAATAATGAATGTGCCCCAAAGCTTGTACAAGACTCTGACCACTTCTTAGGCTGGGTTCCCACCTAGGCGTATCGAATATGCGCGTTTGTCGCACGTTTCGTGATGCATGTTTTTACCGCGATTCGCGGTAAGAAAAAGCGCGCGGCAAACGCGTGTTTTTCGACGTCTACTTGGCTGTATCCCAATGGAAACGCGCGACAAAAAAGCCCCAAAGAAGCTCCTGTTCTTTTTTGGGCGTAGGACGTTTTGTAGCGTGTTCATATGGCCTGTAATACACCCAGGTGCGAATCATACCCATAGGAAATAATGGGATTTCGGTGTTTGAGCGTCTTGCAGAGCATTCAAACGCGCTACAAAACGCCCAGGTGTGAACCGGGCCTAAACCTTAACAATAAACTTCTCTTATTTTCTTTTGGGCTTTTGAAAATACTGTTAGAAGTGTTTTTTTATGTTAGTTTGATCACTTTGAAGTAGTATTAAAGTCTTATTTTTTCACATATATGTACTGCTAGAAAGCAGTAGATTGATGCAAAAACATTTTTTTTTAAATTACCTAACAGGTTAAAACTTGCCTCTGTCTCCACCGCTCGCTCCTGGCTGTAGAAATCAGCTTCCTCGAACGGCCATGCAGGAGGATGAGTGCGAGTGCATGCACAGTAGAGATCAAAGGCGGAAAGAGGAGGAGAGACAATCAAAAACGTCAATGTACGCAGCTGTGAGCATGCAGACTTTGTAGGACAGGAAGAAACAGCGGTCTGCACTGGATCAGAGACCGGCACCAGTGCTGGAGGGACTGCTGAAAGCAAGTGGAAGGAAAAAGATGATCGTATCAAGAGGCATCATTTAAGGTAAGTCCTTACAGCAGCATGGGGGGAGATTGTGATTTTAATGTCACTTTACAGAATACTCCTAGGGATCTGGTGTTATCCTGTGTCCTGGGCACTCTGCAGTCTTATCTCAAACAATAGTAACAGCCCTGCCTAGTTCACCCCCGTGATCTACACAACACTTCCACTTTGTTATGTGAATGAGGACAGAAGGGTGTTCCATAGTCCAAATCAGGACCAAGTAGTCTAGGGTGACAATGCTCCTCCTCCATAGATACAGTACAGTGATTGTTGTCACCCTAAAACAGGAAGTGTATTACTGGCAGGATCACCAGGTAAAAATAAAGGGGAAAAAGCCTTAATGAAGAAAACTAGTGCAACCACCACATCCAAAGACTGGTAAGCTGCACATAATGTGTTCTTGGGTTTAGGTACACTTTACAGTCCATTAAGAACACAAAGTGCTAACTATAATAAACATTGGATCAACAGTTTTAGTTAAAACCTGGATGTAACAATGTTTATTTACATGGAAACTCATTGTTTGAGATCTTGCATGTTGTTTGGATTCCTTTTCATTTCCTTCACTTTCCTGCAGCTTAAAACAATAGCCACAAAAAGGGATTCTATTGTATAGTATGCCAATCTCTAAGGCTATTTTCACACAGAAGTGGTTGCCCATGCATATTGGCTGTATGAATATGCGCGTAACCGCTCTGAACATAAAAAACAATGCATTTTAATGTGCATTGTACACACTATTGCGGGGACTGCACGATTTTGTCCCGCAAAATAGTCCAAGTGCGATTTCAGGGGTGGATTCCTTGCAGTTGTAAAGATTTTAGCATTTTCGTGCCGTGCAGTCTTCCGCATGGAAAACTGCGCAGGAGACGCAAACGCTATATGTGAATGGAGGCTAATTCCTAGTTATGGTCCAAATGTAATTTAATGTAATTCAGTAGCTACAGAAATGATCTCACGTGTATAATTGGCAACTTTTGATATTATTCTTTTGCACAATTCGCTGCTAAACTTCAGCATGTAAGGTTGTCAAACAAAATACCGTCTTGGGGGAAACTGGATCCATCCCCTTCAATGACAAGTTCATGGAACTGAAACTTTGTACTTTCTGCATCTTAGATGTGATTTTTTTTAATAAGTACACTGCAGACAAATTGCAGCCGAAAGTAATATCTTGGTTTTGAGTGGATGCTAAAGAACCCCTGTGGTAGTAGTTTGCATCTCCAAATCCCCTACAAGACCATTATGAAATGTCACACTCCTGGAGCTAAATTCTGAATTAATACTAACATGTAGGAAACAGAACTTTGATGGTACATTGTCAAGTGAGATTTTAAAACCTGGGACTGTTCCTGAAAATAATGAATAGTTGGTGACTACATAGGTGTGTTACACTACCACCAGGATGCTGAATGTATTTAAAAGAGAACTATGGGGTATTTTGTTATCCCATAGTTCTCTTAAGGATCACGGGAGAACATATTCTAACGTCCTCCCGTGATCCAAAGCACGGTATATAGCGAGCTATTGCTCACTATATACCGAGATCGCTGCAGCCGGGACGGATCCCGACAATGCTGTCGAGATCCACCCAGCTGGTTGATTGACAGCTGGCTTTGCCT